AGACCATCCCCCAGTACAGCCAAGTGCAGACCATCTCAGACACCTGCACTCAGGCCCATGGTCCTAATCATCCTCTATGCAAACCTGCTGGGTAACGCCACAAGGGACTCAAGTAGGGCTCCCACAGGACATACATTAACATCCCACAGCATGTAGTACACTAGAGAATGGATATACTATATTTTTAATTCATTTACAGATGATTAATAATTGATTTTTCCAGTTTCTAGCTTTAAAACCTAATGCTGCTATTAATATTTGTTACTAACCATTTGAGCAGATGTATGTTTTAATTTCCCCAAGTTTATATGTGTCTAGAGTTGGAATTTGGAGACTTCATGGCAAGTCTATATTTAGCCTTTTAAGAATCTATCCATATCAGTTATCCTTCAGTACAAAACACCAACTGGAAACTCTGTAGCTTAAAACAACACCTATTTATGTTTTCTTAGCTTTTTTTGTGGTGGGAATCAGCATGTTTTAGGTGATTCTCTGCCTCAGTCATAAGGTTTCCATCAGTGGATTGGCTAAGACTGTAGTTATTTTTTACATTAAGCTTGCTGGGAAGCATCTGCACCTATCTTCATGTAGCTGATGATAGTATTTATTGTTTGTTTTGTTTTTGTTTTAAAATTTAAAATAGATTCTTTTCTCATACATGCATCCTGACCATGGTTTCCCCTTCCTCCCCTCCTCCCAACTCCCTTCAACCTCCACTCTACCCCAGATCTAGTCCCTCTCTGTCTGCCCCCAGAAAAGAGCCATCCTCCAAGACACAATAACCAAACACGACAAAGTAAAGTACAATAAGACAAGGCAAAAGCTCTCTCACCAAAGCTCTCTCTTCCCTGGACAAGGGAAGACAATATGAGAAAATGAGTCTTAAGATGAGAGCAAAAGAGTCTGAGACACTCTCACTCCCAGGTTGGAGTTCCACGAAACACCAAGCTTGTCTGCAGAGGACTGGGCACAGACCCATGCAGTTTCTGTGCTTGCCATTTCAGTCCCTGTGAGCCCAGATACACCCTGTTTAGTTGATTCGGTGGGTCATATTCTCCCGGTGTGCTCTATCCCCTCTGACTCTTACAAACTTTCCACCTCCTCTTTTGCAGGATTCCCAGAGCTACAAGAGGAGAAACAAGAAGAACTCCAGTTTAGATTCTTTCTGCATAATGCCTGGCTGATGCGGATTGCCTTGAATCTGTAGATTGCTTTTGGTAGCAGGCTGGCCATTTGTATTATGTTAATTCTACCAATCCATGAACATGTGAGTTCTTTTCATCTTCTGAGATCTTCTTCAAAGACTTAACGTTTTTATTATACAAGTCTTTCACTTGCTTGTTTACAATTACACCAAGATATTATTACATTCTTTGAGGTTATTGTAAAAGGTGTTGTTTCCCTTATTTCTTTCTCACTCTGTTTGCTATTTGTATATAGGAGAGCTACTGATTTGTGGAGGGGATTAATCTTGCATTAATCCAGCCACTTTTCTCAAAGTGTTTATCAGTTGTAGGAGTTTCTTAGTGGAATTTTTAGGGTCCCTTAAATATACTATCATGTCACCTACAAATAATGATTCTTTGACTTCTTCCTTTCCAATTTGTATTCCTTTGATCTCCATCAGTTGTTTTTTGCTTTAGGTAAAACTTCAAGTAATATATTGAATAACTGAGGAGAGAGTGGAAACCTTGTCTTGTTTATGAGTTTAGTGGAATTGCTTTGACTTCTTCTCCCTTTAATTTGATGTTGACTATAGGCTTGCTGTAAATTACCTTAATTATGTCTAGGTATGTACCTTGTATCCCTAATCTCTCCAGGACTTTTTCATGAAGGGGTTTTGGATTTTTTCAATCGTCCTTTCTGTATTTAAATAGATGAACATGCTTTTTTTTAGTTTGTTTATATGGAAGATTACATTTACTGATTATCATATATTGAACCATCTCTGCATCTGTGGGATGGAGCCCACTTGATCATGGTGGGTAATATTTTTGATGTTTTCTTGGATTCACTTTGCAAGTATTTTATTTTACATTTATGTTCATAAAGAAAATTGGTTTGTAATTCTTTTTTTGTTGAATCTTTATGTAGTTTGAGTGTCAGGGTAACTGTGTCATCACAAAACGAATTGGGTAATATCCTTTCTGTTTCTATTTTGTGGAGTAATTTGAGAAGTATTGGCATTAGCTCACCTTTGAAAGTTTGGTAGAATTCTGCACTAAAACCATCTGACCCTGGCCTTTCTTGACTGGGAGACTTTTAATAACTACTTCTACTTCACTAGGGCTTATATGTTTATTTAAATTGTTTATATGATCTTGATTTAACTTTTGTAAGTAGCACCTATGAAGAAAATTATCTATTTCTTTTAGTTTTTCAAATTTGGTGGAGTATAGGCTTCTAAATTATGTCCTTATGATTCTTAGGATTTCCTCTGTTGTTATGCTACCCTTTTCATTTCTGACTTTGTTAATTTGGATATTTTCTCACTGTCTTTTAATTAGTTTGGATAAGGTATTGCCTATATTGTTGATTTTCTCAAAAAAGCAAATCTTTGGTTCACTGATTCTTTATATTGTTCTCCTTTTTCTCTATTTTATTGATTTCAGCCTCAGTTTGATTATTTCCTACCCTTTATCCTCTTGAGTGTGTCTGCTTAGTTTTGTTCTAGAGCTTTCAGGTGTGCTGTTATGTGTACTGGTATGAGATATTGCCATTTTTAAAAAGTAGGTACTTAGTGCTATGAACATTTCTCTTAGCATCACTTTCATTTTGTCCCATAAATTTTGGTGTGCCTTTCATTCATTTTCATTGAATACTAGAAATCTTTAATTTTTTTATTTTCCTCTTGATCCATTTTTCATTACATAGTGTATTGCTTTGTTTTCATGAATTTGTCAGCTTTCTCTTGTTTTTGATTTTTCTTAATATCCAGCTTTAATCCATGGTGGGCTGATAGAATGCAAGGAGTTATTTCAATTTTCTTGTGTCTGTTGAGACTTGCTTTGTGTCTGAGTACTTGATCAATTTTGGAGATAGTTCCATGAGCAACAGAGAAGAAGGTATATTCTTTTGGTTTTGGGTGAAATGTGTAAATATCTGTTAGGTACATTTGATTTATAGTGTCTATTAGTCCAGTAATTCTCTATTTAGTTTTTCTCTGGGTCACCATTGGTGAGAGTGAAGTCTTCCACTATCAATGTGTGACAGTCAATATGTGATTTAAGATGTAGTAGCTTCTTTTACAAATCTGGTTGTCCTTTTATTTTGGGCTTAGATGTTAAGAACTGAAATATCATCTTGGTGAATTTTTCCTTTGATGAGTATATAATGTCTGTCTCCATCTCCTTTGATTAGTTTTGGCTTGAAGTTTATTTTGCAGATCGCTTCTTAGGTCCATTTGCTTGGGATATCTTTTTCTAGACCCTAAAATAATGTTTATTCTTGATGGTGAGGTGTGTTTCTTCATTGTAGAAGAAGGATGAATCCTGTTTTCACATCCATTGTGTTAGTCTGTCTTTTTATTGGGGAATTGAGACCACTGATATTCAAAGCTATTAAAGACCAATGTTTGTTGATTCTTGCTATTTTGTTATTGTTGTTGTTGCTGGTGTGTGTGTGTGTGTGTGTGTGAGTGTGTGTGTATCTCACACAGCAAAACTACCTTCTTTTGGTTTTGCTTGTGTGAGAATATTTATTTCCTGTTTTCATGGGTGTAGTTAACCTCCTTGGGTTGGAGTTTTCCTTCTGGTACATTCTGTAGGGCTTGATTTGTAGACAGCTCTTATTTAAATTTGACTTTATCATGAAGTGTCTCATTTTCTCCATCTATTGTTGAAAGTTTTGCTGGGTATAGTAGTCTTGCTTGGCATCTGTGGTCTCTTAGAGCATGTAACACATCTGTCTAGGCCCTTCTGGCTTTAGAGTCTCCATTAAAAAGTCAGATGTAATTCTGATAGGTCTGCTTTTATGTTACTTGGTCTTTTCCACTTGGAGCTTTTAGTATTCTTTCTTTGTTCTGAATATTTAATGTTTTGATTATTATGTGGTGGTAGTGGAGGAGAGGACTTTCTTTTCTGGTCCAATCTATTTGGTGTTCTCTAAACTTCTTATACATTTATAGGCATCTCCTTCTTTAGGTTAGGAAAATCTTTTCTGTGATTTTGTTGAAAATATTTCCTGGGCCTTTGAGCTGAGATTCTTCTCCTTCTTTTCTCAATATTCTTAGGTTTGTTTTTTTCTTAATGTCCTAGATTTCCTGGATGTTTTGTGTCAGGAATTTTTAGATTTAACATTTTCTTTGACTGATATATCCATTTGTTCTATTGTACTTTCAATGTCTATGTTTCTCTTCTATCTCTTAAATTCTGTTGGTGAAACTTGCCTCTGTAGTTTCTGTTGGAATTCCTAGGTTTTTCATTTCCAGAATTCCCTCAGATTTGCTTCAATTTCCATCTTCTGGTCTTGGGCAGTTTTATTTCTTTCCTTCAAATGTTTGTATGTTCTTTAATAGATCTATTCATTTTTCTCCAATTGTCTGTTTCCGTTTTCCTTAAGAGATTTATTTATTTCTTGTTTAAGGACCTCTATCATTTTCATATAGTTGTTTTTTATTTTTTTCTTGCACTTTAGCTGTGTTGGAATATTCAGGGCCTGCTGTGATGGGATGCCTGGGGTCTGGGGGAGACATATTGTCTCAGAAATTATTGATAGTGTTTTTATGCTGGCTTCTGGGCATCTGGGTTTGGGGTGATTATAGATCTAAGTGCTGATTTCTAGGTTTGCCTTTAGTTTTTATGGATTGTTGGCATGATGGAATCAGTGTTCTGATGTCTGCAGGCCAGAACACCCTCACTTCCTAGGCATGTGGACTCCTGTAGAATAGAACAAATATAATAACAACTTATTCCATCAAAAATTATTATTATTTTTTTTTTACAAAAAGTCATCAAGAGAAACAATAGGCTAACAGGAAGAAGTTCAATTCTAAGAAATATAGTCTTGGAACCAGAGTTCATTCGCTATATTCTATTTGTTAGAAGCAAGTCACATGTTATGCCAACTGTTATAAAAGTTGATGAAAAACAGTGAATCATTGGGGGTGGACATTGTTGGGAGCCATGCTGGAATTTATTTGCTATGCTGTCAAGCTGTTAATGAAAGAAAGGTATTATAACATTTGACAGTTACCATCAATGAAGCATGAGAATCCCAATTTCTCTTCATCGTATTAACATTTATTCTAATATGTCTTTTTATTATAACAATTCCAGTAGGTATAAAGAAGTTTCTTATTTTAATTTCAATTTATTTAATAACTAATAATGTTGGCCACATTTTATGTGCTTATTATCCATTAGCATATTTTGATGACATATCTATTCATGCAATTGTCTTTCACATTAATAATTTAGCTGTAAGAGTTGTTTATGAATTCTGGATGTAAGTTCTTTATTAAATGCATTTTGCAAGTAATTTTTTCCTAGTCCTTTGTGTGGCTTTTCATAATTCTTAAATTTATTTAAGTGTAAATTTTTAGATTTTCAAGAAATTCATTTAATATTTCTTATTGTGAATCATGCTAGGGTTTTATCTATGAACTCTTTGCTCAATATTCTCAAAAATTTTCCTTAATATTCTTAAATATTTTATATATATTGATATAATAGTTCTATAGTTTATCTTATATCTTTGTATATGTCTTTTATATTATTTTTATGCATGGGGCAATGCAAATATCTCAGTTTCTTTATGATATTACTGGTTTATGATCTCTGTCTCTCCAAAGTTTTTTTAAAGTCATCGAAGATTTCCTTTATCTCTTCAAGAGTCTTGATCTCTAATTAATTGTCTTTTCTTATTCGTTTGTTATTTATTATACTTGGTCCCTAGTCTCTACTGTTTATTTTTCTTTATAGTTTCTTATGCTCTGCCTTAGATTACTGGCGTAATATTATTCTTATTTTTCTAATACAGGGTTTTAAAGCTATGGGCCCCTATGTGCTCATATGCTTGCATCTTACAAATTTTTGTCTTTTATGTTTTCATATCAATTTAGCTTAAAAATATTTGCTAACATTACCTGTGATTTCTTTGATATAAATAATATAATTCCAAGTAATCCTACATTACTTAGATTTGTTTTATTTAATTTAAATATTTATCTAATTTATTTTATTACTTATTTTTATTTAATTCCTTTGTGGTTGGAGAATATATTCTGAAACAGTATATTAAGTTTTAAATGTATGTCTTATTGTGGAG